CTTTAGTGGGCTACTAAATGGGCAAGTCCCTCAAAGTGGAGGGAAAACCCAACAAAACTATCAATTCATCTTTAGGTGGTTCTCCTCTAAGCAAGGAAGTTTACTATATTTTCATAGGAAATGCAAAATCTACGAATTATTTACTCTCGTGTATTGAGAAAAATAATGCGGTATGATAGATATTAAAGATAGTCTTCAACAGCTGGCTTAAGGGAAAGGTGATTCTTTCACCCAGATTTTCAACTTCCCCGTCCAGTTTTTTTGAGGTGTTCCTCTACTATTTTGGCTCAAGTGTCCACACCCAGAACTAGCTGCTCTGATACCACTTGTTTGGATTAATAATTCCAACACAATCACTCCACAATCCATAGATTTCAACTGCAATTCAATACCCAATTGTAATAATATTCCACTAAGAAGATAAAAGAAATACTGATTAGGGGAGAAGAAAAGAAGAACGAGAAGGAGAGAAAATTTCAAAATGAGAGAGAAGAAGAGAAACAAAATTCTGTCCATCCACGCTTCCTTCGTTCCCGTCTCATGTTTAAGTAGATGGGAAAAGGCATGTTTACAGTTAACAATTTGAAATATGTTAAACAATTTTGAAATGCTGAAACCGTCCCGCCCCATGTTTAACGCTGAATGGTGTCGTCTCCCATTTGAAGATTTTGGTAATTCCGTTGAGACCTCTTCTTGTTCTTTTCCCAGGAGCTTCCTTCCACTAGCTGCTTATGACATACAACAAATTTTGAAGCAATTACGTCCACAACCGCTGACATGGCAAGAGTCTTCCTCTACCTCGTCCATGGCAAAAGTGGCAGTGACAGCGCCACCAGATATGACATTCTTCAAGGTTGCTACCATTATTGAATCTCGTAGTGGTGGCAATGGCAAAGGATGGCGGGGGGTGGTTGGAAGTCGACGGTTTCTTTGGGTTGATTTGTTAGGTTTGATGAGGTTGGGTGCGTGGATGACATGATTTTTATTTTTATTTATTTTTAAATTATTTTATGTTTAAATCATAAATTTCACTTTTGCCCTTATCAAATTTGGTCACAATCAATTTTTTGGTCAAATATACGGTTTTCATCCATTTGGTCCCCAACTGTAAATTTCTTAAATGTTTGGGACCTCCACTAGTACAAACTGAAGGTTACGGTAAAGTCTACAAAAAAGTGAAAGGTTAGGATTGCTATTGCAATTTTTCCTTTTTCAAAAAAATATAATGAACTCAAAGCATGAGTTGGAGTGTTTTAAAATCGCTACTGAACATCATCCAAAATCGGTTCGCTCAAAAAAGCCTAAAAGCTATACTTTTAAAAATGCCCATAATTAGTATCCCAAAACTCCCAACCAGAGCATTAATCCAATGCGTATAATAAAGAGCATTGATATATGAATTGATTATATATTTGTGTACATATAATTATGTGATATTACTTGATTATGTATAGCAGTTTGGTGATGTATTCTCATCCCTAACTTTTGTTAGAAAAATATTTATATTCATTGGATAGAGTAATTGTTTAGTGTTTTCAAGTAGACTTACGAATCGTTTGACGTGGTTTTACTTTAACAGAGTCACGAACTGATTTTAGGAGCACCATTTAACCACCAAAATTATTTTTCAATCAAAGTAATAACAAAATAATATTAAAATTTTTACAAATTCTACAGTTATATTAATGAATCTTCATACTTTGAGAGCTTCATAATTTGTAATTTTATTAGATATATGTTGTTACGTCTCACATATAGCTATAAGGCTCCAAATATCTTATATGAGAAGCAAATATGGGAGCCACGAGGTATTTTTGACCGAACCCCTTGGAGTGGTTGAACCAATATATTTACCAACCCCATTAGATCATATAGACCCCATTGGAAGAATTGAACTACGAGGGAGGCGCCACAAAAGGAATTCGACAAGAGATCTGTTAGGCAATCCTTGATATGTGATTGATGTGACAATTTATTGCTGTCCTCGCCATTTTCAGCCTATCGAGTCAAGTCTAAAGCTGCAAGCTAGATATTATGGATGATAAAATGGTTTTTAGTAAGGGTCTCGCCTTCACTTAATTCAACCTTACTACATGCTTCATCTATTTTAGTAGGCTTGTCCCTTTGGTACCTTTTTTAATTCAGCCTTACTACAAGCTGTCAAGCTTCATCTACGTGAACAAACTCGCCCTCTTTAGCAATGGTATCGCATTCACCTAATTCAGCCTTAGCCTATGGCAAGCCTCCACAATATCTGCAAACATAGAATTTCATCCATCACACAATGTCACATTCCAACTTGAAAGTCTACGCATTATATGAATAACCATGCATAGACTTCAGGGACTATTGAGCTACGCTACTTTTTGGTTACAAAATCAAGAAACCCTCAACTTGAAAGTCTATACATTATATGAATAATTGTACATGGACTTCAAGGACTATTGTTATACCTCACATATAAGGTTCCAAATATGTTACGCAGCAAGCAAGCAAAGAGGCCACAAGGTAGTTTTGACCGAACCCCTTGAAGTAGCTGAACTAATATATTTACTAACCCCATTAGATTATAAAGACCACGTTAGGGAAAACCAAACTACGGTGGAGGCGAGACCACAAAGGAGTTCGGCGTAAGATCTATTAGGTAATCCTTGGTATGTAATTGATGTAACAATTCACTGCTGCCGTCGCCAATTTTAGCCCATCAAGTCAAGTTTAAAGCCACAAGCTAGAATTATGGACGATAAAATGGTATTAGCATTTAATGCTTATGATTGATCAAAGTCTCCAACAAGAAGCACCAACCGCACAAATGAGGCCGCGTGCCTATTTATCCAACGACTCTTATTCACCTTTTTCTACTGTAAATGCTCGCACTTAGTGCCATGTCAAGGTATCGCAAGTTTGGACTCTCAAGCTATAATTTCGCCATCACTGTTTTATCTATCTCTTCCCAAAATCGATTCCCCTTCTACATTGGAGGCTACTCTCACACACATATTCGTTCTTGATTCTCCCAACTGACTTGACCGTTGGAGTGTACGCAGCCAACTCCACCCACATCGAAGGAAGCCATGTGTGGCTAACTGTTTGTTCAAGTGTGCAGGAATTAGGTTTGCGTAGACATGAAAAGCTTTCAGATCTGTTGACCACGTTAAAGATACTGAATTTCAAGTTCAACACCTCTTCCAACTTTACCAGCTTTTTAGCTATCAAACTGAACAAATTCACTTTAGGTTTAAAATGTATTCAACTTAGAGTAAGAGCCTGTTTGGCTAGGTTTAACCATTTAGAGTTATAAGTCTAAGATAGTTATGGAATTATAGGAGGGTCCAGTATGTCTCCAAGAATTCATAAAACATACATGTGCTTAACGTGAAATCCGACACATTTAAATTGTGATGATAAATTTGACACTGAGGACAAATAATAAAAAGAAAAGAAAATGACACGACCTTCATTCCTTTGCGTGCTATAACAAAATTCCTAACTTTGCGTGCTATAACAAAATTCCTAAGAACATGCTTGGATATGAGCTTGCAATAATTGTGACTTCTGAAAAGTATGTTTTGAAATCAAAATTCCTAGTAAAAGTAATTCGTGAAAGGCTCAGACATATTTGACAGAAAAAAAAATGATTTCCTTTGCTCAGCCAAACATGCTCTAAGTCTTGATAGTTTCACGGGTTCGAAAGCAAGTCGACACTTGTACCATGAACCCCGTCGATGAATTTGATAATAACTAGAAATACTCTTTTCAAGCACCTAAACATTCCATTATAAACAGAGGATAAGTATTAAATGGATCATTGAATAAGTGAGTCATTTCAATCTGTGAGCCATTAATTGAGCTGTTACTTTAACATTTTCAAAATGTTTAAGCATTTAGTATATCACAATCAACTATTTAATGAATTATGGGTTGTATACTTGTTTTATGTGAATTACATTTTATAGTTTTAAAAAAGTGAAATTGATATGTCAATAACACGAGGATTGCTAGACAATGGGCAGGTTGTCCCAATTACTTCTCTGATGCTTTAAGTTAGAAAGATAGTATAATCACATTCTTCTTGAAGGATCATCTAGAAAGTGATACGTTTTGTGTGTATTCAAAAAAGAGAAATTTTAATTGTAAATGATTGAGTTCCTCTACGTTTCCTGATTGGTGGAGCGACTTTGGGACGAATGGCATTCCAATTAGATTAACTAGGGTGACAGTTTGTCATTTTGAATCTGTAAAATATGTTTTGTTGATACTTGTTTGATTCTAAGCATATGGTCTAAGGGTTTTCTAAAAGATTGAATTTATAAATGATTAGATAGGAGATCAATACAAAAATGAGAAAATTGCACTATTGATCCCCAACCTAATGACTTTGTCGCATTCTTGTTCCTATTGTATGTTTCTTTGCAGTATAGTCTATTAATTTTAATGCAATAGCGGTCCTTAGCGACGGATCCCGTCCAATTGACTCTTAAAAAGTTCAACATTTTCCTTAAAATGATTATTTTGTCCTTATCTAAATTAAAATGAATGAAATTTGCCTTTTTCATATAATTATAGCAAAAAATCAGTCATACCCAATAGCCATGGGCTCTGCCTTGAATGGGATAGAGATTACCCGCTTAATTGAATAATCAGGTCATGTGCAGGGCGGGTATGGGTAATAGGTGTCCCGCACTGACTCTTTTTTTTTTTTTAAGAATTCAATACTTTAAATGAAAAACTCCACGAAATTTCATTAATTCTAATAGAATATGGCAATTAAAATTGTCTAAAGAATATAATAAAATTAAAAAATCTTAGTTTACTAAATATATTCGAATAATTTAAATTTTAAAAATAAATAAATTAATTAAAATTTTAGTAATTATATTATTGTTTCACTTTAATTAATGGGGACAATAAAATGAATTATCAAAATATTTTTAAAAAAATGAAAAAAAAAATATATGGGTACGTAAATGGACAAACGCCATGTCTCGTCTTAAACAGGTAACGGGGTAGGGACGGAGAGGGAAAATGCCTGATGGGGCGAGGGGCGGGGGAACCCGCTCCATTGCCAGTCCGCTAGTTTGTCACAGCGCTTCATTCTTCAAAGTTCAAACCCTAACCTAAAGCCCAAATCCAAGGGTTAGTTTTGCTTTCCTACCACTACGATCGCATCTACATCATTTTAGACTATTTTATTTTGCTTAATTGCTTTTGTTACTGTATCTCATTATCTGGAATTTGAAAATATATGTCATTTGTGTTATGATAGATCATCCTTATGATTTGTGAATTGTGATTTGTTAGAATTATCTTGTGATTTGTGAAATTTAATTTGAGAACTTTATCAAAAATTCAGAATAGGGACAGCAATATCCGATGGGTTTTCTGGCATTTGTTGTCATTTGAAGAAATTTTTTGATTCTGATAGCTTCTAATATCAGAAATGGTATTGAATTCTTGCTTTTTGTTGTTTTATTGAGTGCTTTGGTTAAATGTGGAGCCTAATATTCATATAAAACATAATTCGAAGAGTAATTTTGTGGGGATTTTTGAATATGTGAGAAAGCTGAGAGTTTGGAGTATTTACAGATTGTTTTGATTTTATTATGTGAAGAAATTAATATCATCCATGTTTTTATTTTTTTATCCTTTTGATGATTTTTGCAATATGTGATAAATTTACAACTTGCAGAATTAGTATATACATGAATTGCAATTTAGGTTTAAATTTATGATAATATTGTGATTTGTGAGCCTTTATTATATATGACTTTATATGTGTGTAGTTTTTCAAATTATTTATTAACTTGAATTGATTATTTGTGTTGGTTATGGGCAAATATTTTTAATGTAAATCTGCATTTTCTTGTGATGAGCAAAATAGTAATGAAAGAAATGTTCGAGATAAAAGGAATGAAAATGATGTTGAAGATAAAAAAGATGACGGGATTGGTGATGAAATGAATGTTGGGGATGAAACTAATCTTGAAAATTTTTCGATTGAAACTAATGACGAGGATGTTGGGATTAAACGGCCTGAACTTGATAGCATTTTTTGCGATGATTTATGTCAATAATTGTCTGTGCAATCGAATCGGAGATTAGTGTTTGCATATTTTGAGAATGATATATTTGACAATATTTAAAATGATATAATTATGAAACTTTATTAAAGTATAGAACGTATAGAGAACAATTGTAATAAGATATCGAATGCTTTAATTTTTCACAATTTTTTTTACAAGTTTGACTGTACTCCTAATTTAAAATGTCTGTGTCCACCACTGCACTCACCCCATCACATCTACTCCCATTCACGGACAATATCACCTATGCATATGTAATCACATCGACATCATCAACAATGCAAGCGCCACCTTAAAAGAATTAATTCAAGAAAAAAATTTATTTTTGTGGTCTGAAATCATCGTCTACAGGAAGTTGAAGTACAATGAAACTACTATTTCAAAAGTTGATGTCTTTCATACACATGCTATATCACAGATTGCACAAGGTTGTCAGTGGGTATTTGGTGAAGGCACTAGCATAATGTCCTAACGGGCCCCATATTTCTGTATTACAGGCATTGACGATTCACAATCTGATTACGCTCGAGGCAGAGGACTTCAGCTAATTAGTTAGAGGTTACTCAAAGCAGCCGAGTCATGTAAAGTGCCATTTGAATTCCACAATGCTGGCATGTCAGGATGTGATATCCAACTCGAGAATCTTTAGGTTCAACAAAGAAAATCTTTGGTCTTGAATTTTCCTTCCATGCTTCGCCCCATGTCGGACGAGAGGGTGAGCACAGCAGATCATCGAGACTGCATACTAAGACTAGATAAGAGCTTGTCACCCTAGGTTGTAACGCACTTGAACAAAAACATTGCCCCGTTTTTTCAGCACCTTTTTTTTTCTGGTAAAAACTCTAATGTTATTATGCTGTAGTGTTAGAGTCAATTGACTGGAATGACAAAAAAATTCACTCAAGTCGATACACAAAGGACACCCCCCCCCCCCCCCCCCGAATAGGGGTGGAGATTAACCGCCTGACCGGGTAAATGGGTCGAGGATGGAGCGAGAGTTATTGTCTCCAAGCGAGTATGGGAAACATAGTCCCCGCTCCACTACCTGTCCAGTTTGAAGTTAATTTCGAACTTAAATTTTATTTTAAAAAAAAGATTCATTGCCATTTTAAAGAGAACATGACGTTCTTTGTAAATTAGAAAAAAAAAAAATATATATATATATATATATTTACTAACTAAAGATAGAAGAAAATAAAAGCAAAAATAAAAAAAATAAAAAATAAACAAGGTGATCGCTTCTCTCCGATTCCACCTCGTTGCCATTCTTATCAATTGAGTGGCTATCCTGACCATTTCCAATGCAACATCCCATCCTCATTTTATTAGATGATTGGGGTCTATGTCAATTAAAAGGACAAGGAGGGACGGGACAACAAGGAGTGGAGAACACTGCCTAGCAAGGGATGGTATCGCTACATCCGTCGAAGTGATTGCATTTTGGAGGTGGTATTTGTCAGTGAGGTCTTGTAGATTGTGATGGATATGTAAGGTGAGCTTGAGTGGGAAAGATGAAATGTTAGCTTTTGCCTTCATTTTTTTTTTTTTTTTTTTTTTTTTTTTCCTTTTTTTTTTTTTTTTTTTTTTTTGGTTAACATTTACTTAACTATTTCCTTTTTAATTTTACATTCTTATATATTGTATTTTACTTAATGTGAATGTTAATGGTGAAGAAGTGATTTCTTCATTGTCTATCCACTTGTGTGATTTGACTATCAAAGTCTATTCAAATATTTGGTCAAAATTGATACAAAATCAACTTTTTATTATTTCTACTTAAACAAATTCCAACATTTACAAATTTTAAATTATGAATAGGTAAACAAATCAAAATACTTTGATCTGTTTAACCATATGTGATGACAAATCTGTAATTATTTCTAGTTTTCTCTGCAGATGTGTTTTTATTACCAATAGTAAAATTGAGTTTGCAAAATGTAATTTTACAAACTATTATATACAATTTGTAAATATACGAAATGCAGGGTGTATTTTGAACATTATATATATATATATATATATATATATATATATATATCCCCCACCTTATCCTAATGTCTGGAGCCCACAACACAGCACTTATGTGTATCTAAGAGATCATTCGACAGATATAATGCCTGAAGTATAGAATTCTTGTTCACAGGATATTTATTCAATCGAATTTTAAAGATGTTTGCATGCCTTAAAGCAATCTAGACGTATGTGGTAAAAAAATGTTAAATATAAAATTGTTATTATTGCCATATATGTTGATGATATGAAAATTATCAAAATTATTGAAGAGCATTTTAAGGTATTAGATTATAAACATTTGTTTTGGCATACCTATTGAATATTTAGTCGACGAAATTCTTATATATTAGTCAATTTATACTAAGAATGTCCAACATGTTCGGAAATGCGTATGGTTAATATCAATGATTCGATATGTTCAAAAGACGTGGTTTATCCCCCAATAAAGAGCTCAGATAATAACATATGAAAGATATGTGTGCATAGCTCAAATCAAAGGAGGATTTGTTAAAAGAGTCAAAACGAAGTATATGTCACATAAATTTTCTTTGCTCATGACCTTGATAATTCATATGATATTGATATTAAACAAATTCGTTCAAGTCATAATATATCAGATTTATTCACAAAAGTATTACCTATTTCAACATTTGAGTTTTCTAGCGAGATTTTTAACAAGACATCATTCATTATTTCATTGTGTTCATTGGAGTTTTTCTTCGTCTAAGTTCTTTTCATCGAGGTTTTAATCATACCGTTGAGTATCTTAAACCAATATTAATTCATTTCTAATAACATATTAATAATCTCCTAAGCTACCGTAACACGACACATTTATTAACTAGAGAATAAGTTCGTAATACAGAGAGAAATGATTGATTACTAGTACTTAGCTTATATTAAAGTACCCATGATATAACACATCAATTTATTGTAGGATAATAAGTTTAATTCCAATTTCGAGTCTCGCCATAAAATTATCTTCCAATGTATTGATGTATGATAGATATATCATCTTATCGATATTCTATATAAGCTATGCATTGTTGCTTGTAAATATAATTTTGCAAGTAACGTCGTAATTAGAGCATCTCCAACAAACTCTTTACGAGTCACATTCTCATTTCTACGGAGTTGGTTCCTTATTTAAATTGCACAATAGACTATATAATTAGATTAAAACTAAAGAGTGGATTTGGATAAATGTACTTGATTGGTGAAATTATTTTTTACTAGATCCCTTTCACAATTATTTATACTAATTGATCGGAACCGTTCGTCCTACTCATGATATGAAATCAAATGCCCACCTTATACAGATTTGTGGTCCTTATAAAATGGGGCACCTGTTTCATGCACGCACGTGTTTCTTCTTTCATAAAATAGCAACCGTTCACTTCTTTCCGACCTGTGATTTAGTCGCATGTACAAATATCCATTAAACTGCTTCTGCATAACCATTTCCAACCTCAGCTTTATCTTTTTTGTCCTCCCCATTTATTTATATTCAATTTTTTCCGCAGAAGTTTGAATTAATTTCCTGTGGTTTGATATTCAGTCTCAACTCTGAAATGGAGATAGATTTTTTAGGTTTGATTTCGAAACAGTCGCAGAAATTGGAGAAAGGGAGAAGGAAGAATACATTCAAAGATTCAGGTAACCCAAACTGTTTTTATTTATTTATTATTATTTTTTTTTTCCTGCTCGTTTCAATTTAAAACAACTTAAATTGGTACCTATTCTTAGGTTTGAATGTTTTTAATCCATAATTTACATTTTGAATCACTTTTAAAATTTCAGCAGTGTTTGGTACTAATTATGTACCGCATTACTCGTACAATTATGAATTTCTTAAATTAAGTAGAAGGTTAATAATTGATTTTTTACAATTATGTGCAATTCTGTACTGTTTAATATTATTATTATTATTATTATTATTATTATTATTATTATTATTATTATTATTATTATTATTATTATCATTATCATCATCATCATCATCATCATCATCATCATCATCAACTTGATTGAAAAGAACTGGTTGACTGATTAGTTGCAATTTTGGTTTTCATTTATCCTTTAATCAGTTAATATATTACGGTTTGGATTCCTATCTTTTGCAGCCATCCGAGGAGCTGACATATCCTTATCCCTTAGTACTATCAGTTCTTCAGTGGATTTGAAGGGAGAGCCTCTGAGTTTTGGGGAGGTTTGTTTTCCTCATTCTTTTGATTTAAAGTAGATGTTTTATCTATTGTCTATAAAGTTAAAGCGAAAAATTAACAAATCCTATGAAATTTACAAAAAGGAATTCAAGAACTTTGTCTTTAACTTCACATATATCAAGGAAATCTTGATTGTGCTCCAATTATCGAGTGGACTAACATTCGTTAACTAAAGAAATCGAAGAGAAAGTTTAAGATGGCGCGTTGCGATCATTGTTACGGTTCTGAAATTACGTCTAAGATAAAACATAATCTATGTCCGTTTGTGACCAGAGGTCGTATGGCTTATTGTTATGGCTCTAGCAGAATTATCTTTCACAATTTTCTCCCTTTTTGTGGTAGCAGATTAATGGATGGACAGTTCCTATCAATAATATGATTCCTACATGTGAAGGCAGCTTGGAGAAAGATCATGCGAGAGAAAAATTGTCTCGAGCTTGTGTACAAACACCAATTAACAAACTCTCTTCAACCACGGGCTTCCCTTATGATCTGAATGAGAAACCTACCGACTCAAGGTGTTTGAATCTACCTCCTGATTGACTATGTTAGTTTTGAGAATTTTTACTTGAATATGTATGAGATGAAACTGTGATTTATAGTATTAGAGCAATTAAAGATGATGAACTCACCTTTCACCGTGGTTCGTTTACGAAATGTTTAATAATTATGTGAAGAAAAGGGACTCTGAGTTACCTAGGCAAAGCATGCTGAAAGTATAAATGTGCGTTTGATTGCAAGTATGAAATTTGCATGGAAGGAAAATAAATTTTTGGTAATTCAATTGTCTAAAATTAATTTGCATAGAAATTGTTAATTAAACGTGTTTGATTAATTTAATTTTCAATTTAAAAAATATTGCACTTTTCAGATATTTATTGATGGATAGATGAGAAAGAGTTGATAGACGAGAGAGAGAAATAGAGAGTGAATTTTTTGGAAAATAAAATCCTACTTCCCCTAAAGAAATTGTTTTCTTTAATTTTGAAGAAAATATAGTCCATGACCAAAAGTAGAAAAATATTTTCCATGAAAAAAGTTAATCAAATAGTACAAAAGTAGGAATTTAGGTGAAAAAATACATTTTTCATGAAAAATATTGACAAGCAAACGCAATCTAACCTATTTTAACTTTGAGATGAAATGATATTTTTTTTATAATTGGAAACGACAGAAAAGGATTTGATGTTAGTTGTTTGTTATAGGAATATTTTTGAGCCCACAGCCCAGCCAGCTTTTTTGACCCTTTTGCATTCTGGTGCTGCTCATGTCTTCCATGAAATTTTACCAGATAAGGTCCTCTATTCCCACCCTTCCTTTCTCTTCATCTATCTCATCGTGACTTTGACACTTTTCAATGTTTATTATCTTAATTATCTCTAAATGATTTAGGCTAATCACCTGATGCGTGTGTCCAGCAAGTCTTCCTTGGTTACTTCTACTAACGAAAAATGCACAAGGGGTATTTTTTTTTTTTTTTATCCTACTATATTATATCTCATGATTGATGATATTACTCGAGCTATTCATATTAACAATTTCACAAACTAGGCTATCGTTATACTCCAACGGTGGCAATGGCTCGGAGGGCAACCTTGGCCAGATTTTTGGAGAAGCGCATGCATCGGTAATGTCCTGCCTTAAGATTTTCCTTGATATTCTTAATATTGCTAATTAAACTCAATTTATTCCATCTCAAAGAGTCATTTTTGCTGAATTCTTGCCAATGGCTACTTTGATGCAGATTGACACGTACAAAGACAGCAAACGTTACCAGAAAATCACCAGATGCAACCAGTTCTCAAACCTGGAATGTAAATATAAGATGCAACAAGAAGAACAACAGTATTATCAAGTTGTGATATGAAAAGGTAACACTTATGTTTTCCTTAGCGGTTGAGGGCGGGCTAGTCTATTGGGTTTTGCTAGGAAAACAGGGACACTGACCGCCTCCCTGACCGAACCCCTATTTGTGGGCTTCCTGTCAGGGAGGCAGGAGCAAAACCCTAGTCTATTTAGTTTTCTGTTCCGACCAACCTGTTATTTTCTATTAAATTATTGGATATACAATCTGCAAAAATTGTATTTTTGCCAACGTTGTCTCTTCTAATTTTTCACCTATACACTAATTCCAAGTCTTGGTTCTAATACAAGTCTCAACTTTAGGAAAGTTTATACACTAGCAACTCCGGTAGGGTTCTCTGATTATCGGCTTTCACAACTATTGTTTACTCATTTCCTTCACGTACGATGTTCCTTTGCATCTATTAACTTTTGGATTCTTGTTTAACTTTGACGATGTAGGAAGCCTTCGGATGAAAATCAACACGAGGGCTTAGCAAAAGAAACAGGAAACAAGATGGGGAAGCTCTATGACCTCCATCAATGAATTTCTGCTCTCAGTTGAAGCTTAGCAAGGTTTAAAAGATTTGAGTATTTAATAATTAGTGTAAATCTCCTTATTACCTTTCTTGCAATAATTGCTAAAAACTATTCTTTCAAAGTATCTACACATTCCTTTTTATATACAGAATTTGACCATTATTGGGGGTTGAGTCACCGGTTAAATTGATAAATGACTGTATTTATAAAATTTAAAAGATTTAGTAGTGTAAACAGTTAATTATTCAATGATAATTTGCTTTTTTGTACTGTTTACTTTTTCTTATAGTTTTTAGTTTTAAATAGATAGATATGTCATAAACACAAAATTTATGATATATATTCTTTCACATGCTTAGCCCTTACAATCGGCTGGTGATAGATTCGAGTGCCAAAAATACAAAACTAAAAGAGTTGCATTCATTTCCATTGTCTTCTTCATTTAAATAAAGCAACTGTTAGTGCATGGTCGACCTAAGAATTTGAGGCATCAGGCGATAAATTATTATAAAATCCTTAAACATAATTTTTTACAAGCATTAGAAATACTTACGTATTTAAGTAACTAATATATTTTTATTTAAACGAAGTCTTTGTACAATTCAAAAGATCGAATTACAAAATAAAATATCTTGTACAATCCGAAAGATCATAATAATTAGTCTTCTTATATTTTGAGATGCAAAATTAGTAATCAAACAATTTTTATTTTGTATATTAGTTTGGCAATTGTCATATTTTTCAATTCTTTTCATTTTTCATATTTAAGAATCTTGATGTACTTAAAATTCATTTGGATAAATGTCTTATTTTGAGGGTCTTATGGATGAATAGGTTAGGGATCTATCATGTTCTGTTAGAAAAGTACAATAAAGATCATACTGGAAAGCATAAAATGAAGAATCATACTTTAATTAACAATATTGTTGACAACATACCACGTGATAGTTTAAAAGGGATAATGCCATTAGTACATAAAAATAGTGCATGAAGGATTACATAAAATGATATAGAGAGAAAATTGGATAAAAAAGTTGACAGTGTTATAAATTGACAATGTTAGTTGACAATATTGTTGACAAAATTGGTGTATAATGGTTTTTTTTTTTAATGACGAGGGAACCCGCAGTCGCTACTTTTCGAGTGCGCACTGAATAAATCCTTGGACTGCCCTCGAACTAGCGCAGTAGTGGTGTACAATGTTAGTTGACAATATTGTTGACAAAATTGGTGTACAATGTTAGTTGACAATATTATTAACAAATATGTCACGTGATAGTTTAAAAAGGACAATGTTATTTGTACATAAAAATGGTACATAAAGGATTACATAAAATAATATAAAGAGAAAATTGGATAAAAAAAGTTGACAGTATTATTAATTGACAAGTGATAGAGTGACATGTGACATTATGTAACTCATTATGCAAAAGTTGATGTATATGTAGCAAGAACCATTTAAAAAACAACCTATCTTTTCAATCAACAATTTTTTGCCACCTACAACATTGCCAGACATAGTACACCAAGCATGATTCATGTACTATGTTGATTGACAACATTTGTTGACAATGTTGTTAATTTTGTAGGTGACCTCCAAGTTTTGGTCACATCTTATGCTTAGGCATGCTTTTTACAACACGGACTTTTGGCACAATTATATTGTATAATGTGCTAAATTGAAAAAGCACTTGATTCAAAATAATCCACTGGCTCTACTATTTTCATAACAGGCAGATATGTCTTAAACCAATTTTTACAACAAAAACAATAGACCTTCACCATTTTGACAACACAAAAATGATGAAAATGGACAAGATATAGACGCTCCCAAACAGACAACACTACAAGTTCTTTCTATTTTCCATTTCAGAAATTTTCAACACAAACATTGATGAAGCACTTTTGTATTATTCTTGCCTCCACTTTCCCTTCAAGGCAAGATTCATATTTTTTTAAGCCGTGGCATTTTGAGGTCATAGGTCATTTCTTTGATGGCTTTGGTTTAGAGCCGAACTTATGTCGATCATCATCTGTAATATCTATAACGAAAAATAAATATATAACTTTTCAAGAACTAAGAAATTAGATATTCACCCCCACCACAACATACAAACAACACACTGATCGAGTAATGATATATGCGAGTTCAAACTTTAAAAAGAATATTAAAAAAAAAATTGCCTTCATATCCAATGTCTATGTTGATTTCAAAGCAAAATCCAAAAGAATGCAGATGGTTTTCTTTCATTAATCATCAACGGAGAAGCTATGCCCATTTATTTTTAAAGTAAAAAAGAAAAATAATGGGAAGAATACATAACTCAGGCATTAACTATACCAAAATTCAATGTTAAGAAAAAATGTTAACGTCAAAACTCAGATGGTAACTAATCAATATTATATATAAAATAATATATTATATATATAATATATATATCAATCATAATATCTCGACCTACTCCATTCTCTCGCTACATACTCGCCCATCCATAGTCATCGGCATTCACCCATCCTCATCACCTCTCATAGCAGGGTGGTAGTATAGATCTAGATAACAAGCGCATGATTCGAGATCCATGAGTATAGCATCTCAAGGGTTGAGTCTTGTTTGGATTTTTAATTTAACAAAACATTGATGAGAATTGAACGATTATATAATTGAAGTTTAATTTGGACAATTGATTGGCGTCAGAATGATTGAAGGAATGAGATTTTTTACAATGTGATTTAAACTACAATAGAGAACTGGTCCATCGATGGAGTGTAAATTTGATGCAGATGTTTGATTTATCATCATATTCAATGTAAATTTGTAAATTTTGGAGATGTGATTTGAATTACATTTAAACTATTACTTGTGATGTTGATCCAATAGCTTATGACTAGTTATCTTGGATTTGTGATTTTTGGACATTGATTTGTTACTTTTGATATTGATCTAGTGGATTGCGACCAATTCTCTTGAACTTATGAATTGTAGATATTGATTTGTTACCTATACAAAATAACATGTGACATGTGACTTATAATATGACTTATGAACTTAAATCTATAACATGTTATTAGTGCACAATGACATGTGACTTCTAATTTGTAACTAGCTAATATTGATCTGTAACTTGTTGATATTTATCTTTGACCTATATAATATGACATGCTACTTGTAAATAGTGACCTATGACATGTAACCTATAACCTATGAACTATAACATGTTACTTGCAAACATAAATGAGTGATCTTGATCAATTCTATTTGATCTGTGACCTGTGGATATTGATTTTTGACCTACAACAAGTGTGACATGCAACGTGTAAACATGATCCCTGACCACTTCTATTTAATATGTGAAATGTGGACATTTATTTGTGATACGTGACATGTAAACATTGATTTATTATTGATGCAATATGACCTGTGAACTGTTACTCGTGACCTATAGCATATGAGTTGCGATCTGTGAACTTAAATATGTAACATGTTATCAATGCATAAAGACATGTGACATATGATCTGTGACATATATAAAATGACATGTGACTTATGAAGTGTGACATGCAACATGTAAACATAATCTGTGACTAGTTGTTTTTTACCTATGACTCGTAGACAAACTACAAACTGTAATCTCTCCAACACTACCACTACAAATCACAATCAAAAAGCTATGTACAAACCACAAACTTCGCCAACACTCAACCACAAACCACAACCTCACATTCAAAATATGCAAATTTTAGAAAATGTTCATTACACAGATTAATCGATGATTATAACAGGAGCAAATAAAATGATCAATTGGGTACGGATAAGAAAGAGACTGCTACTTCTCAACATGGTAGCAGTGGTGAAGCTTCTCTATGTTATAGTGGCACTATGTCGAGGTCATGGGAATGGAGAAATTAAAGAAGCGGTTGTTGATTATGGCAACCACTGCTTCGTAGTTCCTTCGGATTATCGACATCGAATGTCTTGGACTCTTATAAATGGAGGCATCGAAGAAGCAACTGTTCACCACTGGTTCAACGACGCTGAGCAATGCCTACGACACGACGTCGTGAGCAATTGAGTGCCACGCGCGATGGTTCCTCCAATGGTGGTAGAGAGAGAGGGGGGAAGGAAAAGGGGAAAATAATTAGGGAGTGTAGGTTGTGGCTAGGGATGTTAACAAGTCGAGCCAAGCTGATTCTTTAGCCAAAACTCGAGGCTTGAGCAAAATTAGTTCGGGTTTTTTTTGCCCGAGCTGAGTCAAGCAAAAGTTTGACAAAAAAATCGAGACTCGGCCCGAGCTTGTCGGTGCGATTTGTTTTAATCAAAAGGCAGCTACACAGTTGCCTTTTAAGTTATATATATATATATATATATATATATATATATTACGTGCCGACTTGTCCAGCCATATGGGTCGGCTTGGACTTGGCTTGATGCCCCAAAATGGGGTTAGCCCGAGTCACGGCGGCCCAAGCTGACGAGCCAAATTGCCATCCCTAATTTTAATGAGATACTTTTGTGTAGACAGAGAGAGAAAGAGTGAGTGAAAACTGTTTGGATGGTGTGGGTGGGTGTGTAGACTGATAGATTAATTTAATCGTCATAATATCTTATTAATATTAAAAAGTTGAATTACTGCCTGATTAATGGATAAGTAAATTTCAAATCTAATTTTTAACTACAATCTTTAAAAAGCTATTGTATTGTAATTTCCTCAAAAACTATTTTAATGGGATTTTTTGTTATGTATCAACCTTGTAGGGAAAAAAAATAAAGAAAAAAAAAAAGGTTGATGCTTGGGGCACATATTATGGTGTCCACACCATTATGTTGAAGTAGTATGATCCAAAAAAATAAAAAAAAATAAAAAAATTCAACCCAGTTCCGCCCATGATAGAAAACTTGAGGTTGAATTGACTCGCCGTTGAGTAGAAAAATTAATAGAAATAACTTGGTAATATCTTACAAATTAGCATAAATTTGATAAATTGGACAGCTCAACGCGAAAAACTTGTTATATATATATATATATATAAACTTTTTTACCTAAAAAATAAAATGGGTCGGCTTGGACTTGGCTTGATGCCCCAAAATGGGGTTAGCCCGAGTCACGGCGGCCCAAGCTGACGAGCCAAATTGCCATCCCTAATTTTAATGAGATACTTTTGTGTAGACAGAGAGAGAAAGAGTGAGTGAAAACTGTTTGGATGGTGTGGGTGGGTGTGTAGACTGATAGATTAATTTAATCGTCATAATATCTTATTAATATTAAAAAGTTGAATTACTGCCTGATTAATGGATAAGTAAATTTCAAATCTAATTTTTAACTACAATCTTTAAAAAGCTATTGTATTGTAATTTCCTCAAAAACTATTTTAATGGGATTTTTTGTTATGTATCAACCTTGTAGGGAAAAAAAATAAAGAAAAAAAAAAAGGTTGATGCTTGGGGCACATATTATGGTGTCCACACCATTATGTTGAAGTAGTATGATCCAAAAAAATAAAAAAAAATAAAAAAATTCAACCCAGTTCCGCCCATGATAGAAAACTTGAGGTTGAATTGACTCGCCGTTGAGTAGAAAAATTAATAGAAATAACTTGGTAATATCTTACAAATTAGCATAAATTTGATAAATTGGACAGCTCAACGCGAAAAACTTGTTATATATATATATATATATAATTGTTACTTGACATCTATAAGACAAAAATGTGAAAGGATTAAAAATCAATATATTACCCTTTTTTTTTCTTTTTTACATATTTTCTAAATTTTTTTCAGATAATATAAACAAAATTTGAAATCTAACCCCGTCTCCTTAATGGGCCTAATGATGTATCAACCTCTGGGCTTTCTACGGTCATGGGTCTAACGTTAATTAACACACATATTTTTCCTGTTTAAGCTCCTTAATGAGACTAATAAGGCCTTCTCCGTTCTGCCACAATTTACCTGTTTGAGCTCAATCCAATTCTGCCTTCATATCTTCTTACAAGCAAAACCAAACTATTTTTGTGCATAGGCTTTATTTCATTTTTTTCTCTTAGTTGAGTATACAAGAAAAAAATAAATAAAAGTTAAAATTATTTCAATCCGTACAGTAAATGTTTCAATAATTTCATAAATTAAGTTGCGTGTGTGTATGTGTGTGTGTCTATATATATACACACTCGCACTCTTTTACTCTATTTTATTAACTTTAGTTTAATATTAATGAAATAAACGTAGGCGAAACTATTGGAATATAGGTGGAATCCATCGTAGACCAATTTTAACACTTGATTGTGTATTCATTGGACATCAACGTCAGCCACATCGACTATTTAATATATTGGTTCAAATTCCACGTATATTACAATCCGTAGAATGTATGAGAAATATTTTTATTTTTACTATCTAGTAAAAGTCAAATTTTAATTTCAATCATATTCAAAATTACTACTCATTATTATACACACATTTGATGGATCATTATTTTTCTTAAAATTTACTAATAATCAATCCTGTAACGAAAATAAATAAATAAGTAATTAAATGCAAATTACTCATAACATACAGTAAAAATTTCAAAGAACTCAAAAGGGCTAATGCTCATTTTCTTTTGTAGTGGTGCATATTGATATTTTTCAATTTAAGTAAATATATTGCTAAGCTACTAAGTACCTATAACCAAAAATATTTAAAGATAGAAGAAATACAAAAAATATTGATTTATTAATATGCACATGTAAGGATGATCTCATGATGATCACATTTACACGAAGAATGATCTCATGGATGATCACATTTACATGGACTAAGAAAATATAATTAACTTTTAGTTCCAAGGACTTAAAAAGTCAGTCAATTTTGAATAAGAAAGCATATAAATATACAAACTACTCGTCAATTTTCATGACGACTTTAAGGTAGATTCAATGAGAAGACGTTGAAATTATCTTTGAAGCTTAGCTGTAATTATCAACTTGATAGATAAATAAATAAGAACCAACTTTTAATTACTATGTAAGTAATTAAAACTAAATAAATAAATAAAATTAAGCTTTCTTTGAGTCTCTTTAATCACTTATTAGTTAAACAAATTGCAATTAGATATAAAGAGGTGGACATGAAGCTTAAAGCTTCTTAAACAATGATTAAGCCATTGACCTACCAACTTATATTCAAAATAATTATAATCTTTTTGACCCAAGTTGTCCAACAAGTATTCATTTAAAATTCTTAAATTTCACTTGTGTGAATGATTTTTCAAAACTTTGATTTTTGAATAATTTGGTGGGCTTAATCTACAAGAATGGTCACTTTCAATTAATTGTCACCGACGCTTTCTTCATTAAGAACATCACATTCATGGTTACTTTGCATTTTTTATTAAACGCGGGGGCTCAAGCCTGCCCAATGTCGAAAAGTCAAGTAAGTTGGTCACCTGATGACAGGGGAGCCAATGATCGAAGCCCCCAGTGAACGGCAACCTAACATGCCGAATACATGATCAATTCGTAACAAGTGAAAACATAGAAACCCTAACGTATATACTACCCAAATTATATGATTGCCTAATTTTCCTTCTCTCGTACATAAATTGTGACAATCGAGTTTTTACACTATAAATCTACACAAGTACTATAAAAGTTTGTTGCGGAAGTTTGTTCCAAGATTTTTGAAATGGTAATTTTCGCGCTCAATTTCATGTTATCTTTCTCTACAAATCAATCACTCCGAACGGCTTTGACCAACAATCAATATATTTATCTCAATTGTTTCTTAATCTCACCCGCAAAAGATAAGATGGTGGTGTTAATTTGCAAGTCGCTAAGGCATGAGAAAGACAATGGAAGAAGGCACAAATAGAAGGCCAAATACACAAAGGAAGTCATCGATTTTTCTCCAAGAGAGCAGCCACGTTTTTTCTCCTTTTCTCACAAAAATCACACACTAAAGAGGGCTAGGGTAAGCAACGCATATATAGGAATAGGTAGATTTTAGTTGGACCAAGAAAGGAGTTGAATGGACCAAGATCCGAGAGCCATCCAATATAAGGATCGTGAACAACATTAATTTCTTAAACTACTTCCAACGGTCCACGTTATTTTTGGGTTGAGCCTTAAGACTTGTTTATTGGTAATCAATTCACCATTGGTTGAGAACTGCGAAAATATATTCCAACGTTATACATCATTCTCCGAGATTTATTGGGTATTAAAACCCAACAAAGGTATAATTTTCTTAATCAGATGGTATATATAATTATAACCCACCTAGCCAAAGCCTAAACTGGGTTTTACTCTAAAACATATGCTCATTGAGGAATCGGAATATACGTTTATTAGTGTCGTAATTATAAGTCCTCACAAAGTCACAATTGAAACTTATTATAATGTAAATTAGCAAATATTCAATTGAAACTCACTGTGAATTGGCCTTGTATTAAAATACAGCAAAATTTTTGTCCTTCAATTTACTCTCAAATGCAATCATCATCTTTTCCCTCCCAAGACTTCTCACCTCCCCCAAACACTCTCTACCCGTACCTCGCCCTTCACCAAGTCTTTGGGGGCGGAAAGGGTGATGGTGAAAAAGAGATAAGAAATAAGGTGAAATCATAGGGCAGGGAGAGAACAATATATGTCAATTATTTTTAATCATGTCCAATCTTATTCAATTAGTGTGACATGCCTATTTTCTTTTCTTTCTTTCTTTTTTGGGTTTTTGTAATCTCCAATAGAAAATTAACCAGTCAAAAGAAAGATAAAAAGGGAGATCACTTTGCATGGTAAAAGAAAACACCTTAGATAAATCTGGCCTCCGTTTAATCTTTATCCTTTATTAGATGTAAATACAGAAAACTCAGAAATTACATGTTTAGTAAATAAATTATAAGAAATCAAACAGACTTCCAACACTATTCATCTGAGATCATTAAAGGGAACTACAATAATGGAGGTTCCACCATTATATTGCTGTTATCATCACAATTATTATACAAATCCAAACTGCTTATGAAATCATCGTCCCAGATACTGCTTATGATTTCATTGTAATCGAACGTTGTAGCAAACTCCAAATCTTCAAGCAAATTAGACAAAAACCTGCCACCGACAGAGGTGTCGGTGGAGGATGAGGAGGAGGAAGAAGAGGAGGATGGAGAAGATGATGAATTTTCACAAGTAATTAGGATTTCATGGGGTTCAATTAATGGAATTTCATCAATGCAGAAATCATTATTGACTTCCATTGAATCAAATAAGCCAGCGTGTATGCTTTTGTCTCCATCTTTAGCCTGATCATTAATGGTTGACTGCAATGGGGTTTCAACCACCACCGCCTCTTCCTTGTCCTGATCAGCCACTTCAGACTGTTGCGGCGTCGGCTTTGGTCCACCTGCTTGTTCATTATCTGGCAGTTGAATGGTGGTGGTAGTGGGCAGTGGCTTGTGAGTGAAAGGATCAATCCCCATCTTTCTCAGCTTTTTCTTGACGTGGGTGTTCCAGTGATTCTTGATCTCATTATCAGTTCTTCCTGGGAGATTAGAAGCAATTTTTGACCATCTGCAAAACCATGAAAATCAAGAAAATGATCGTAAGTTAAAATGCCCAATTTCAATTGGTTACTAGAAATTATATTATATTGTAACTCAACCAAATAAAAAATAGACCAATGGATAGCTATGATTGGTCAACTTCATGTGTCTGGCAATATTGCAAAGAATTGCACTAAAGTGGGAAATGCAAATGATAATCTGTCGGCCACATTCTGTTCTTGAAATTTATTTACATTCTTTTCATTAATTGAATTAAGAAGAAATGTTGAGAAAGAGCAGGAAATTTAAGTACCTGTTTCCAAGCTTGGAATGAAGATCAATAACCATCTTCTCTTCAAATTCTGAAAGAAGTCCTCGCTTCAAGTCTGGCCTAAGATAATTTGTCCATCTCAATCTGCAGCTCTTTCCACACCTCAATAGTCCTAAAAGCAACAAGAAGAATCTCAAATTAATTATGAATAATAAGCTAAAACTCTCTCTCAACTTATAGGGAAAAAAAAAAGTGAAGGGAAAAAGACCTGCGAGTTTAGGGAGAGCTCTCCAGCAGCATTGGCCGTTGGTGAGAATGAAATTTATGAGTTTTTTGTCTTCTTCAGCAGTCCATGGCCCCTTCTTTAATCCAACTTTGTCACAGCAAGGTTGCCTTCCCATTATCAATTTAAGCTCTCACAAACAAAAATTGAGTGATCATACAATTACTACTTATAAGTTAATTTGTTTATACACAAAAGCAGGAGAGGAGAGAACTGAACAGAGTAGACTACACAAACCACAACTCCCTATTTATACAAATCAACACCTCAGTCCACCTAGACCCCAAGCTCAAAAAATTAAAAATAAAATCCCCCAAGAAAAATAACAATAAGAAAAGAGAGCACGGTTTTTGTCATCAACAATGGTATGGTGATCGAATTTTTTTGGCATAATGGCTAACCGACACCTACAATTGGGGGGCCCACTTCTTTTTGAACTTTTTTATTCAAGCGGGACCCACGCGCTACGAGAGGATATTAACCATTATCTCAAAAAAATTCTAGTAAAGTAATTTAATTGTTTTATTATTTTATTTAATTTAGTATGTTGAAATTTTCTGACCGCCACACGTTCACTGTGGGCCCGCCCATGTTTATAACAGCCTTTGAAAAGCACCACCTCACCATCCAATAGCATTTTACTTGAATTTGAAGCAAAAAAAGCATGAAAATTTGAAAAAATAAAATAATAATAATAATAATTTGATAAATATTGATCAGTAGAATTGTTGTCATTTTACTTTCGTACCAGTATTTTTGTTCACTCAAAAATGGGTCCACAGGTCCATGTCGGTCCATTCATTTCAGGGAGTTTGTTTGCAATCATTATAATGGGGAAATTAAATGTAAAAATTATGATAAATATTGATCAGTAGAATTGTTGTCATTTTACTTTCGTATCAGTATTTTTGTTCACTCCAACATGGGTCCACATCCGTAAGTGAAAAGCAAAACTTACAGGATTTCTAGCCGAAGGTTAAAAGGAAAGAAAAGTTAGACAGCACTCACGATTAAGTAACCTTGATAGTCAACTGTTATTTACATGTGTAAATATTTTTGTATAGTATTGAAGCATTTGACTACATCTTATGCACCGCCTTGTTTATTCTATTAGTTTGTGAAAGCAGAAGTTTCACAGGTCGTAAAATAATTTTGAGAAAGAAGCAATGATAATTGTTGCGTCTCATATTGGAAGCTCCCAGTAAAAGCCATGTGGAGGCAATATGTTCAAGACATCTGACAGTCAACAAAGTCAAAATAAGGAAAAAGGAAATTGGCTGAGGCACTCTCTCTGGCAAAACCTCTACCATCCGAAGTACTTTTCCTTTTCAGCCGAAGTCCTCTCTCTAGATCAAAGCACTTGCTGCCTTCAAAGCAGATTTGCAACGTATCTATAAGAATGATTGATGTAATGTTTGTATTAATGATGTAAGAAATGTCAGCATAAGATGTAGATTGGCTAACCCTAATCAATGCAATTCATTTGTGGTTGAGAGTGATGTGGCACTCTAGTTAACAGGATGAGGTCACGTGGGTATGATCCAATGGTAATCACATCGGCCCAGACTTTATAAATAACAACTCTTGTAACCTTTTAAGGGATGAAAAAACATATATGTAAAGTTACATACTTGAATTCGCAGTAAAATCTCCTTCTTGTCCATTCCACATTTACATACTTGAGTTCAAATCATTTCGATTTTGGTGAGACAATTCGTGATTGTTTATTTACAATTGTTCTCGATCATACCATCGATGCTCGAACGTGGTCATCTCGTGTTATAGAGCATCTCACACTTCCGTTGACCCTCCAATTGATTATTTCAATAGAAACATATCAAAATATGCTCGTGTGGACATAAGTAGGCTCGACATTTGTTGCCCACATTTCATTGCAAAAATCGAGGTCAACAAATTGGCCCCATCTGTGGGAAATCATACATCCAACCACGAGAATCCCGTGGGAGAAAGCTAATAATCTTTGTTTGAGAGGATTACGTGCCTCTCCTATCCAAACCTAAAGCTAGAGAACCTCTGAAGCTATACTTAGCGGTGACAACCGAGGAATCAGTTCAGTGTTTGTAAGAGACATAGAGAGTCACCAATTGCTTGTGTATTGTGTGAGTAAAGCACTCCTTATAGCGAAAACATGTTATCCCATCATGGAGAAGCTGGCTCTCTCCCTTATAATGGCTTCTCAAAAATTAAGGTCATACTTTCAGGCGCACACCATACCAGTGCGAACGAACTTTCCTCTTAGACAAGTGTTATAGAAGCCTGATGCTTCTGAAAGATTATTGAAATAGGCCGTAGAACTCAGCGAGTTCGATGTAATCTTCAAAGCAAGAACTTCAGTGAAAGGACGCCCTTAGCAAATTTTGTGGTAGAATTTACTCTTATTCCAAAAAATGGAAAATGAGATGGAATCCGCCAAATTGTCCACGTGTAGCCTTTTTGTTGTTGGCTCATCGAGAGACATGAGATCCAGAATAGGAGTGGTCTTGGTCAGTTCGAAAGGACACAAACTCAATTGTGCAATAAGGTTCAGCTTTAAGGCCACCAACAATGTAGCAGAATATGAAGCCCGTCTAGCTGGCCTCAGATTAGCCAAGAAAATACAAGAAAAAAGGTTGGTCCTAGTTAGCCAAGTTAACGGGAATTTTGAGACTAGAGATAAAACTACGGTAGCTTACCTTAAAATGGTCATGGAGCTCTTACCAGCCTTTAAGAGAGTTGAGTTGGCACAAATCCCACGTCTAGAAAATACTTACGCCGACTTTATTTCAAAACTGGCAAGAAGCAAAGATTCTGATTTTGAACTGCTAACAATTGTCCCAATACAGCACCTCTCTAGATCCTCTATTGCTAAAGTCGAAGAGGTGATGTGGCTCCAAAATATTGCTCTGTGAATGAAGCCAATTATAGTATTCATCAAAGGCTAATCTCTACTCCCGGCAAAGAGGAGGCACAGAAGCTCAGAACGTGAGCCGTCAATTCATCTTTCAGGATGACGTTCTATACAAACGAGGCTTCTACTTGCTCCTACTCCGATGCATAGGTGATGAACAAGCCACCTACGTGCTTCAAAAAGTTCATGAGGGGATATGTTGCAACCACGTTGGAGAATCGTCTCTAGCATAAAAGGTATTGAAATAGAGCTATTATTGGCTCACACTGAAAAGGCATAATAATTTACAATGAGGTGCGATAACTGTCAACCTTTGCAATGGTCCTGAGGCGGCCCTCTCAGGAGCTAAGTGTTGCTTCTAGCCTCTAGCCATTTGCCAAATGGGGTATTGATCTTATAGGCCCCTACCTAAAGGAAAATAGCAGTGCTAGATTTGCAATTGTTGATATCGACTACTTCACAAAATAGATCGAGATCGAACCTCTGGCTAGAATTACTAAAGCTTATATTTCGAAATTTTTATGAGAAAATGTCATATACTAGTTCGAAATCCCCCATTCAATTATTTCAAATAATGGGCAACAATTTGACAAGAAGAAGGTTAGAAATTTACGTGAGGAGTTAAGAATCAAGAAGCACTTCTCTTTCCCACATCATCCTCAGGCTAATGGGCAGGTAGAAGCTATCAATAAAACCATCAAATATACGCTCAAGAGAAAATTGGACGCTTATAGGAGAGCTTGGTTGATGAACTGCCTCAAGTTTTATAGGCCATGAAAACTACTAGTAGAATAGCTATATGAAAGACTCTTTTTTTCCATGACTTTTGAAAAGGCACGGCCTCATTTGTGTAGTGCAAAGCATCTACCCTATCGAAGTACTATCAGTAAGATTGTAAATGCACTTGTATAAATTTTTTGAATCAAATAAAAATTTGCCTTATTAAAAGTCTTTACTATACGGAAAGAATACTCCCATTGACAAAAGCTAAAGGAAAAGCCTCTGCATAGAAGAACCATCCCGATGTAGAGAAGTATGAGTAGCGACGAGGTTGATCATAATATGGACAACCTCCTAATTAGTGAAGTTTTTTTTTTAAAGCCTAAGAGATGCGCCATAAAATGACCCTTAACTAAAGTTGTTTAATTAAGCCTCGACATGGATGAACTGCTCATTCCCATACTTGAGAAAATAAATAAAAGAAATGCAAATAAACAATGAAAATGCAGTAAATATAGAAAATAATAAAAAATGTATTCATTCATTACAAAGAATATTATATTTGTGGGCTTCAAAGCCATTTACATAATATTACAAGATCCTATTACTACACATGGGGAGAGGAGGTACAAATGGTACAATAGCATCGAGAGCCACTTCAGCTACTTCTTCCGCTACGTCGTCTTGGATTTTGATCACGGGCTATCCTCCTTCAGAGTTTGAGGCTCATCTCTCTCCTCTAAGAACTTAGAAGTGTTGAAAGTCAGAGATTTCACTTCAATCCACTCTATCTCTTCAATATAGGTATACCTCCATCAGTATTTAGCAAAACATTTGTATGCCTCAGTGAGGTAGAAGTTGGCAATGTTGTGCTTCTTAGCTTCATTGCATGCAGATTTAGCTTCTTTCCTTGCCATCTTCACCACCTACATTATATGGATACTCTGGAGTTCAACTCTCCCACCTGCTGCTTCAAAGCAGCAATTTCTTTATTGGCCATCCCAAGGCCTCAGCAGCTAATTTCTGTTGGGTGTCAAAAGCCTCCACTTGCTTCGTCAGGTAGGCCACCTCATTGTACAACAAGTGAACCTCATTTTTTAAATCTTTAATTTCTGTTAGAGTTGAAGTGAGCTTCACGAACTCTTCAGCTTTTTGTTTCTTCAAAGCCTCTACCTCAGCATTAACCTACTTGGCTACCTTCTTCACCTTGGAGGCATTATTCGTAGATTCTTTATTTTGCTTTAAAGGTTTTTAGAAAGGGCCTTTATCTCTATAGAAAAATCAAACACCCTTTTCTTTTGACTCACCATGGTGGTAAAGATATCCACCCAATCGCTGGTCTCCACGAAGGACAGCCAATGGTCCATTCAAAACTTGTGAAAATGTTGATGTTACAATTTGAACCTTTAAAGAAATCATTATCGAAACCTCCAGGCCAGCTCATCACTCTGTTGAAAAACAGAGAGCTTAAGGGGAGGACCTGCATGAGTTGCAGTGGACTCACTTGATATCCTCACCCTCTAGAAGAAATCTTTCCTTTAGAGCCCCACAACAGTTGGCCTCTTCTAAACCCCATTAGCCACAGCAATAGAAGTTACCATTAATTTCTCCCCTGCAGGGATTTTGGAGAGAGATGGTGGGCTGGCCATGGACCACCATCTCCGGTAGCAGAGAACTTTTTCATGGTGACCTAATCCATCTTATTTTTTTCCCTTGTCCTTCACGGGAGGTAGCCCATCTCCTTTATGGCCAGCAGCCTCTTTGTTGATCTTCTCAATTTGGTCCGGGGTAGGGTGCCTCTTCTTCTCAAAATTTTCTACAAAAAAAGACAAAGAAAGGTAAAAAATTATGCAAATCAATGACACAAAAAATTTAACGAAGAGCAATTATCTCTTCGACCATCAAGCATAATTTCTCGAAGAATTGGCGAGCAACAATCAAGCTTTCAAACTCCCTTAAAGAGAAAGGGTATGGTAGATATCCTCAACAACCTCTAGTTCAGCTTCACTAAACTCGAAGTAATCAACTGATCCTGCAGAACAAAGAATGCAGAATCAAAATAAAATCAAAATCTAGGTCAACAATGTAATTATGATACAACACTCACGAGTTTCTAAGTAAGAGGTGGAAAATGTCACATGGAGAACGGTGTCACCCTAAAAAACCTATCACTTCTCCCTTACCCAGAGCCATGTCTCATTCTATCTTTTGATGGATGAAGGAAGTCCTATGATGAAGGGGGATGCAACCCCATGGACATAAGGAATGCCAACCCTTAGAATCCCTCTTCCCCCAAAAACTTGGGTTGAAAAATGGTTTGAAAAACACAGAGAGGCATGTCCTCGTCAAAGAAGGTCTCCTTCCACAAAAAATAGGTTCCCACTAACTGGGCCTAAGCATTGGAGACAATCTGGATAGGAACTAGGTCATACAACCTAGGTACAGCTCTAAAGAAAGGATGAAATGGCAAACAAAGCCTTGCCTTTAAAAGATACTCACTAATGGCTACGCATGCCTGCCTGGGAAAACAGGCTACTCATCAGAAGAGGGAACTAAGAGTTCAATGTCGTAAGGGATACAATATTTTTCTCTTAAATCTACTAAATGGGATGCAGATACTATAGAAGGGGTCTTTGCAGCCCCTCATTCATCTCCCCTGCCCTAGACTTCCTTGGAGGTAAGATACTCTGCCTAGCCATAATGGCTTGGACAAGGTCGTCTGTGTTAATTATGGTGACCCCCATCTCAGAGGCCACCTGGCTAATGTCTAAGTTCTTTCCAGATGGTGAAGAAGCCATTATATAATCACGGAAAGATTCAAATATTTACAAGATTAAACACAACACCAAAGAAAAACAAATGAAAGTGTGAAGAACAATTGAAATGAAGGATAATTATAGCAAAAGCGAGAGAGTAATGAAACGATTTGAGCAGTAGCAAAAGTGATTCTTTGCCTAAGATCTTCTCCTTTTATAGGCAGAGGCATTCCGTTCCAGCCGTTAAATAACGATCCGAACCATCCAGCTATTCATTCAAAAATCAAATTTGAACCTCCGATCAAATAAGAGCATCTGCAACACGCGCTTTGTGGCATCTCAATCCCATAAAACACGCCACAACAACAATAATTACTCATTAAATGCGGCAGCAGTTGCATGTATTGGAAAGTGAAACACCTCAGATGTCATTTCTTGAAACTTGCAAAAATAGTAAATAATTTGAGCGCTATAATTCAGGATGCCTCGTATTCATCACACCCATACTTGCCTCCTCAGAATTATAGCCTACAGCTTCGTTCAAGTTGACGAAGTTTCCTACTCAGCTTCCACGATCACAACTTCAATAGGACCTTTAAAAACAAGGAGAAAATGGCGAGCAACATTAGTAAGATGTGCTTCAACTTTGCTTAAATGTCTGAATAAATAGGAGGCCCAACATACAACTTTAGCACGTGATCTTCATAAGTACTTTGAACATTTCGGCATATATTTTACTTTCAAATTCTAATTTTTATATATAAATATTTACAATCATACTTGGAGGACTATTTTATAGGATTAAAAATAACGACCCCTACAAATTTTTTAAATTTTTATTTCAATATAGCACAAAATTCAATGTACTACATTAATGATCATGCATAGACTTGAGGGATTACTGTTAAGTCTCATATTCGAAGTTCCCAGTGAAAGCCACGGGGAGACAGCATGTGCAAGACATCTGGCGGTTAACAAAGTCAAAATAAGGAAAAAGGAAAAAGTCGATCCCTTTTGGCCGAATCTCTCCTTTTTGGCCAGGCATTCTTGGCCGAGTCATTTTCTCTGGTAGAACATCTACTATCTGAAGTACTTTTCCTTTCCAGCCGAAGTCCTCTCTATAGATTGAAGTACTTGTTGCCTTCAAAGAGGATCAACAGAGTACTTATAAAAATGATTGATGTAACGTTTGCACTAATGAATGTCAGAAATGTAATTGTATAATGTAGGTCGACTAATCCTTTGTCAATGCAATTAATTTGTGGCAGAGAATGATGTGAGGATCTGGTTAACAGGATAAGGTCGCATAGTTCTGATCCAACAATAACTTTGTCGGTCCATACTTTATAAATAGTAACTCTTGTAACCTTTTAAGGGATTAGAAAAAATATATGTAAATTTACACACTTGAGTTTTCAGTAAAATCTCCTTCTTGTTCATTCCACATTTATATGCTTGAGTTCAAATCATTTCGATTTTGGTGAGAAGGTTTTTGATTGTTTATTTACAATTGTTCTCGATCATACCGTCGGTATTTGAACATGCCCGTTAATCCTCCAATTGGTTATTCTGATTGAAGCGTGCAGAAATTTGCTCGCACAATCATGGTGGGCTCGACATTTGTTGTCCACGTTGACATTGTGAAAAACGGGGTCAACAAAAACTAAGCTTGTAAGTTCTATGATCCTACATTGGATAATTTGCAAACTCATCTAGACGAGTACGAAGTACCAACACCAAGGTCTTTATATATATTT